GAGTGGGAAAGAGAAGGGAGAAATGAATGCTCTGCATATATGTATGTTCTATATATATATATATATATATATATATATATATATATATATATATATATATATATATATAGCTCTGTTGTGTATCATTCATCATGTAACTGTAATATGTAAATAGATTGTGAATCAAAATAAAATTTGGGGGGGGGGGGAGGGGAGGGGGGGGAGGGGGGGGGGGGGTTATTACAGACCAAATTTTTATTTAAAAATTGAAAAAGTGCTGTTTGGAAAATGGAACAAGTATAATTTAAACGTATAAAAATTTTATATATATATATATATATATATATATATATATATATATATATATATATATATATATATATATATATATCACAGATCACCAGCATCAAAAATGAATGGTCTGCAACCTTTCCTCCTGCCCTCCCAAGTCCCTTTTCTTCCCCTCTTTCTCCTATTCTGGTGAGATGTGAGGTCTGTTTAAATATGCATCATTATCACCAACCTTAATTTGATTTTCTAAAGTCTCTTAAAAATGTATAAACGATGTAACCATATCATCATCACCACCATCATCCACAAACCCAGTCTTACCACCCTCTAAAATGTGGGACTGATCTGTGAGGTCATCTGGGGGTAGGATATTACGAAATAACCTAATAAAACATTTTAAAGACGTCGTATTACAAACACATACTTGAAAAGATAAATTCTAAACATGGCTGGGTTTGAGTATCGGTCACAGTTTAGTATTCTTCAAAATTCAGGGGGATGAATCCTGACTGCCAACACTCCACAAGCTATGGGAGAATCAATGGGCATTAGCCCCTAAGTGTTAGTGCTCACGACTGAACATAATATTCATTGTTGCAACACAATATAACTTCCTGAGAGGTGTCAATAAATACTCGCAAATGTTATCTTTGCTGTAGTAAAATGACACTACACAAGGTCAGTCAGTGTCACTCCATATAGTCGTTTCTGATGTAAAAAAAAACACACATCTTTCCTGAAGCCTGTTTTTTTAAAATACTACCCTGCTGTAAATCATTAGAGGGGAAGAAACAATCACGTCTGCAGTAAACCTGTGATTGTTTTGATTGTCTGTGTGAATGATTTCCGTCATATAATTCGACATCCTAGGGACCTGACCTGCAACAAAATAGCATTTACATGGCTATTTACGATCTGGTCAACCGTAATAGAGGGGAGATCATCTAGCTGCAATCTACTCGACTTCAGTGACTGAAACTACACACGCACATTTCCTTCCTTTGAGTTAACAAGGACCTCTCAACATAGGTGCATGAACCTGGGAGCTTATGTTTCCTTGCTCCCCGCCCAGTTCTTTTTTTATATTTTCCCCTATCTCAGCGACTCCGAGATTTCTTAAGGAATTTCCCGGAAAGCCAATATTATAGGGGGTTAGGGTTAGTGTTAGTCGGTGTTCATTTCGCACCTGATTACCCCAACAATATTGGACTTTCCCAGTTCGAAATCTCGAGTTATATTATCTGACCTAGTCATCTTCTTGTAAGATACAATTTTTCGTTATGTTGAAGCCCCACATTGGCTCTTTCCAGGGGCCACAATATAGCCCGACCATAAATATGGTCTAATGGCTGAACGTGGTTTCTGAGACTTTTTCACCGGTGATCCTCGTCCACATGGTGGCACTTAGTGTCATCGGGTGTTTATCGCTCGTGTGATGTCCTGGTGGGTTAAAAGAAAGATATAGATCTCAGAGTTCCCCAGACAGCGTGTAATAAAAAAGAAGAACCCTTCCCCCATATCTACCCTTCCACCAAACATTTGTGAGTGTTTTTATGTAATTCTGCTATTTTTAATGTATCGTCTTTTTTGGGGGGAAAGGAAATGTAAGTTTCTACAGTCTCAAGATGGCCCATCCACCATGTGTTTTGTCTCCAAGTGAAGGACACTGTAGGATTCACATCTATCCTCACCTTTCTTTCTGTGCCAGCACGTGAGTTCCCATCGCGAATTTTCCCAAGTGTTTCCTTCTACAACCGCACACTGCAACATTCTAATGTTGCCGGACAATACCAAACCGGAGAGGTTAGTGGCTTGTGGAGAGCTAACTCGTAGACTATTTTTCCGAGTGATTTTCGCAGCGCCAATTTTGGAGGTTCGGGTGAAGATAGGTTAGGGTTGGGTGGAGGGTTGCGGTGAAACTGACACATTCTCATCCAACAATCAGAAGGGGAGTAGAAGTAAAAGAAAGAGAATGAAATAATGAGACCGCCAGACATAAATATTGAAAGACGTTGATGAACTGCCTCGTTTGGTTCACGAGTACAAATTGTTGTGGGGATTTATGAAGCTTCGAGGCTCGTGCATTGTAATAACCTGCTGCATTTTAGTAAGACGAGAGGCAATTAAAGGATAAGAAAGGTCAAACCAAAAAAGTGCCTGTCTAAACAGGATATACAAACTCACATCATTGACCAACAGTTCAGTGCAGCTGAGCAACAGTTCACTGTAATTGACAGCACTCTACAACTCAAGTAACAATTCACTATAAATAAGCAAAAGTTCCATGCAAATGACAGTTCATTGTGACTGAGCTACAGTTCAGTATGATTGAGGAACAGTTCGCTACAACTGACCAACAGCAATTGAAAACCAGCTCAATTCAACTAAAGAATAGCCGACTGCAACAGAACAACAGTTCAGTGCAGTTGACCAAACGCTCACTGCAGCTGGACAACAGTTCAGTGGAATTTACCAAACGCTCACTGCTACTGACAAACAGTTCACAGTAACTGACCAAAGCTCACTGCAAATAACCAGCAGCTCATTACAACATAACAACAATTCATTGAGATTTACCAGACGCTCATTGCAACTGACAAACAGTTCACTGTATCTAAGCAAAGCTCACTGCAACTGATACAGCTACACAACAGTTCAGTACAATTTACCAACCGCACACTGCAATTGGCCAGCAGTTTAATGCTATTGAGTAACAGTCCAATGTGACTTACCAACAGTTCAGAGCAACTGACCAACACCTCACTGCAACAATATACCACATATCTTCCTGAGAGGTGTCAACCAGTACTTGTAAATCTAATCCTCACTGTAGTAAAATCAGACACACTTAAGGGGAAGAATCAATCGCGTCTGCAGTAAATATGTGATTATTTGATTGTCTGGGCAAATGATTTCCGTCATATAATTGATGTGTTTAAATAAACAGAAATACAGAATAACACGCCCAATTGTTTAGGGGAGGGTGAAGGTGGTATACAAGCAGAGCATTCAACCACACTTGGAATATGGGTCAACTGCAATGTGTTCAACAACCAGTCCCACATTAAAGCAGTTGGACAAAGTGCAAAATCAAGCGCTTAGAGTCACCACGGGAGGGATGAAATCAACTCCCTTATTAGAAATGGAGAAAGATGGGAAAACACAGACACCGAGAAAACGCAAAGATACAAAGTTGCAAATGCAAGCTGAAAAGTTCTTCAGTATGCCAGATCACCCCCCTCCACCCCCCCCCTCCAAATGATTTCAAATCCTAGCTTTTGGGGCGGTTAAACAGAGCCCTACGACGAATCTTTGGACCCGCAAACATCTTGAAATGGAGAGTGAGAAGCAATAACAAAATTCATTAAATGTTTATACGAGAGACAACATTTCTGATATAGACAACTTATTTCAGGCGAACGAGAGAAGAAGAAGAAGAAGAAGAAGAAGAAGAAGAAGAAGAAGAAGAAGAAGAAGAAGAAGAAGAAGAAGAAGAAGAAGAAGAAGAAGAAGAAGAAGAAGAAGATGAAGAAAAATCTATCAATTAGGTACTGCCTCAGATATGAAGGTTGACTGTAATGGATCTCAAGCACTATTTCTAGCCCTAGTTGTATGTACATTGTCGCATTCTGCGAACCGTTCGTCTTTTGTTGTTATTCTTGGCGCATTCCTTCTCCCATAAGTATTGCCGTCTACCGCTTCATCGCTTTCCTCCAACTATTATCTCCATAACTGTTTAATAAATATATATAAAACGGAACTGCAGATTAAAAATGATTGACGTTGAATGATACCCTTTAATAAGGCTAAATATTTCATTTCTATTCTCTTAAATTTCTGTCAGCGACTCTCTTTTCATCTCCAGTCCCCCCCCCCTTTTCCCCCCATTTCTTTTCTCCCTCAGTACCTCTGCATTCGACTATTTGTTGGTGAATTATAATTTGTATGATTACTCACCAACAGCATCTGAGTTTAAATATCCGGGATCTACATTTCCGAAGATGGGAAACTGGATAAAGAAATTAACATTAGATGCAGTAAAGCAAACCAAGTATTGGGACAGCTAGCACCCATCTTATTGAAAGCATATTTATTCCAACTCTGTGCTACCAGTGCCAGACATGGTCACTCACAACAAACCATAAAAGAAAATTAGTAACCACGGAAATGAGATGTCTGAGAAGGGCTGTAGGAGTGACCATAAGAGATAAGATCAGGAATGAGATCATAAGAGAAAAACTAGGCACAGAACCAATTCTGGATCACATACGAAGACAGCAAGTGAAATGGTTTGCCCACTTAGAGAGAATGCCTTGTGACACCATACCATACAAAGCATACATGGAAAGAGAAAAAGGACGTAGAGCACGAGGTAGACCAAGAACAATATGGAAGGATAACATCAGAGAAACTCTACAACAGCACGATGTGCCAATGGTCGAAGCGGCCAGAAGAGCTAGAAAGAGAACCTTATATCTCCCTCGAAACCCACAGCGGTAAAAGAGGAAGTGAAGAAGAAGAAGAAGAAGACTCACAAATAGCACTAATTTATTTAAGGGCTCTAATGATATAAATCTGACAGGAAGCTTATCCCACAATCCACCACCGCTTATTGACATAAGAAGCAGAAGAGTTCCGATTATAGCAGAGACACTTCTGCTGAAATCTGCTGTGCTTTACTTGGCTTTCTGTGTTGGGGCGTACGGTTTAGTTTACAAGCTGATTATTGAATGCAACAGCAGATGGATTCTTATGATGTTATCGCTAATCAGCCGGTCGTTATTGACAATGTAAGTACCTTTAATGTATTCAAATGCTCTTCTAAATGATACAATCTTCGTCTGCAGTATATGAGATGGATATAAATAATATATTGTGTAAATGAATGCGAACCTCCCCTGTGTCACCCACCAGTGGTCACAGCATTTACTTAAATATCACAACTGTCGCGCCTTGTATCGATTGATTTATACAGCAATCACGCTCGCTTCCCACCCAGCAGCTGCAGCTGTAAATAATAGCAATGAATGACTCATATTTGATAATTTCGTAAAATATCCCAACTTGGCCACTGCCATAGCATGGCAGCAGTCTGGCACCTTCTGAGTTTATTGGCCAACTATGTCTATTGCTTTTACCAGTGGCAATATTAAGCTGATTAACAAAAATATTGAATTGAAGTTAATGTTAAAAAAAAAATTGTCTTTAGAATTAAAAAAAAATATGGTGGAAATTTACCCTTTACAAAATAAGCATAATTCTTAAAAAACTATCAAAACCATCGGCTATCCTCCGAATATAGGGCACAAATTATGGCGGCCAAAAACAGGGCCTCAGTCACGTGTCAATTGCGCACTTCCGGTGACCTAATTTGCGGTTTTCCGGTGACTACTGCCACGGCCGAGAGTATCCCGCATGCCGCTCACGCGGTGTGGTTTGGGGCTAAACTAGATGGCCAGGACTCACGAGCACAGTTGCAGGAGATGCGGAAGCTGCTGCTCGTGAATCCCAGCCATCGACCTTAGCCCCAATCCCCGGTGCTCACGGGGCGTGGGGGATACTCTCAGCGGTGGCAGTAGTCGCCGGAAAACTGCAAATTAGGTCACCGGAAGTGCTCAGTTGACACGTGACTGAGGCCCTGTTAGGGTGTTTTTGCGGCCACCATAATATTTTCCCATTCGGAGGATAGCCTAACTATCTATTGGCTATCCTCCTAATAGAGGGGGGCTAAACTAGATGGCTGGGACTCACGAGCAAATAAAATGGAGAAAGCTGCAGGAGATGCGGTAGCTGCTGCTCGTGAGTCCCAGCCATCTAGTTTAGCTCCTCTCATGGCGGTGCAAGAGATACTCTCAGCGGTGGCGGTATAGTCGCTGGAAAGAGGTCCACAATTTACATATGAGGCCTTGTTACGGTAAATTTCCGGCCTCGATAATTTAGGATTGTTATTTGGAGGATAGTCCAGTCCACTGGTATCTCAATTACATTATGGTAATCATATAAACTGGTCAGGTCTGAATGTACAGATGGATTCAGTGGCATTAATTTAGGATAAAAACTGAAGTTTAAGTTTTAAACACAAAATTTATTAAGATCTTAAAAATATAGTTTTGCAGAAGAAGATAAACTCATTGATTCAAAGATCCCAATTAGTAAGCATTGTTTGGATTTTTTTTTAGTGCATGTAAGTGTGTTGGAAAATGAACAGAGATAGAATGGCTGGTGCTGTACCACTGGATGGTAAATTGATGCATAAAAAATTATATGTGGTCAAGGCCCTATGGGAGCAAGTGAACAGTGGAAGCCTGAATAGATCATTATGGTCTGGAGGGGGATCTGGCCCACACTCAGGACATACAGTTGGACTGCTACTGGTACCATAGGAATTGAAAATCTTCACTGTTTAGATTCACCAGGTGTGTTGAGAAAGGCAGAGTGGCAAGCATGCGGCATGCAGAGTGACAAGCATAGCTTCAGAGGTCCCAGGTAGTTAACCTTATTTAGATTTTTTCTCTAGGTGCACAAGAGTGTTGGGAAATGAACAACCAGATAGATAACTGGTTCTGTACCAATGAATGGTGAATTTGTGCATGACAAGCTAGATGTAGACAAGGCGCTTTGTAAGCAAAGTAGTGGCACAAATAAATCATAATGGTCTGGAGAGAGAATCGTGCAACTAAGAGTGACCTGGGGATCTGGTCAGCACTGCATTTAGAGGAAAGGTGAGACAGACATATAATCATACAGCTGTTGGCACCATTCTATTTGGAACTTTTCACTCGTTGGTGAAGGTGCAGATGAAGTACTTATGGTAAGGTCATGAATGCTGTGATGTTGATTCTTAAAAGAACTGAACTCAAGAAGCTAAACTATTTATGTCATATTCATGTTATTTTTACAGGTTTGGCATATCTTGACTGTGTCATTTATCCAGTATTCTATCAGCCAGTAATAGCCACATTTTTACTTTAATTGAAGGTCTCATTTTTTTAAGGTCGTAGGTTTGATTTTGGGCTCTGTTCTTTAGTTCAGGAGTGCAAAGGTATCAGAGACCCTCCACGATCATTGCTGGAATGCAGAGCTCTGATTTGATTTGATTTGATTCAAGAACCGACATCACAGCACCCGGGCATTCCCATAAGCGCTCCGTCTCCATCTTCAGCAGCCAGCGAAGAGTTCCGATACTAATGGTGCCAGTTGCTTTCTGATTAAATATCCGTCTTGCCTTTCCTCTGAGCCTTGAGCTTCTGCCAGAACCTCTCGTCACCCCCAACTGCATCAATCTCACCAAACTGTGGTGATCCATCTGCTCCTCCACATTGTACACGTTCTCCCACAAGGCACTTACCAAGTCTGCCCTATCATGTAGCAGTATTCCACCAAGTTGTGCAGAGCCAGCCAGTCTGTCCGCCTGTTCATTTCCCAACACACCGGCGTTACCCGGTGAACAAATCCAGACAATACTCCTCACTCGTGTCCTCCGCAGCGAAGCATGCCACTCTGCACGAAGCATACCTGTTCTGATCTTCTTCAGCATGCTTTCTGAATCAGTTACAATTACAATGTGTGTCTGTGTCATGTTCTCTAGCCAGCGTCTGAACCGTCTGTGTAAATGATCAAATCTTCTGAGTGAGCATTATCTTGAATTAATTGCTGAATTTCCACCTCTGTGGCACCTGCTGGCCAGTCTCTGCATTCCCGGCTCAGCGTGATTATGACTCTACACAAGTCTGACTGCTCAGGTGGCACTTTGACCCACTCCTCTCCTCACCTAACGTTCTCAAGGATGCAAACCTGTCTGATTGTGTCTTCTGCCTGAGCCATCCATAACCTCCCTCTTATCAGCCGCTGACCCTTAATTGCACCCAGAGCTTCATGCAGAGGGTGGTCTGTCTGCAGCTACCCTGAGATATGACTTTGCCTGCATCACCTTGTGCCTACCTGCAACCGTCGGCAAACCAAGGATGTATCGCATACACACCACTGGGGTGTCTCTGGTGCAACCCAGAATGACCCGCATAGCTGTGTTCTGTATGCGCTCTAGTTTGTCCATCTGACTCTTTGAGACGGTAAGCAGTCCCAGGCCATAATCCACCACTGACAGGATCAGGTGCTGATATAGTGTGAAAAGCATTCTCTGCTCTATGTCAATTGCAGCCATAGTCTTAAGTGCACTAAGTCCTTTTTGGCATCTCGTCACAACACTCTCCACATGGTCCTTAAATGACAGGCTCCTGTCAAATGCAATTCCCAGATACTTCAGTTTGCTCTCTCTGTTGACGTCTCTACCATCTATCGTGAGACTTGGGACATTAGTTTTAACAATTCTGTTGTCCAGAGAACACCACAAAACAGACACCTTTTCTGGGTGGACGACAGCCTTCATTTCTGTACACCACTCAGTCACTCTGTCTACTGTCGCTTATAGCTCCCGGGCTGTTTGCTCCCTCTCTTCCCCCTGCCTATATGCAAGTATATCATCCGCAAAAGTCAGTATCCTTCCAACTCCTGGGGCTTCTAGGCTTGCAGTCTTGCTCCTATACACGTTGAAGAGCACAGGCGAGATGGCGGATCCCTGTGGCAGTCCTGGGGCCAAAGTGCATGGTTCAGAGGTCCATGAGCCCAGTCGGAGAGCAACCCGACGTGAATACAGGACAGCTGCAACCCAATTCACCAGCCATGGATTGACCTCCTTCTCCCTCAGTGCAGTCATTAAGATGTCGTATCTCACTCTGTTATAAGCATCCTCGAGATGAATGCAGAGCTCTTTGTGTGCCTTCTCTTCTGAAGATACCGCCTGCAGTGCCCAGGATAAAAACTGAATGAAGTTAGTCCTGATAATTTTATGGGTTAATTTATCACTCAAAGGCTCTAGGTTCTTACAGAGTGCTGAACAAAATTTCAAAGAAAAAAATGGCAGGAAAAGGAACCATTACACACAAAATATTTATTTTGTACAGTAATGTACAAACTCTGTAATGATAATGCAGCTTAGCCATAGTATGATACTGTTTAAAACAGTCCTTCGGATACACCACCCTAAAAAGCGATAAATATAGATGGTGGTGACAGTTTTTCCCCCTCCAGTTGCTACTAAAAGTAATGAATGTCGGAGAGATTTAAATAAAAATTCTTCTGGAAAAAAATGGAAGCCGTTTAATGAGGAGTAGAATGGGTTATTTTTAACAGCTCAGTGAAGTAGAGTTTCAGAGAAGCATATCTTCCCAGGAGTAATAAATATGTGTATTGTGCCCTGCTAGATACTGAATCTGGTAATCTGGTAATCCTAGTTTCAGCTTCATAGCAAACGGGTCACCCCACATATGCTCCGCTCCTGTGCCAACGAAAAACAAACGCAGCTCACAGTGTCACGCCATGCACTCAACTCAGAAGCTGGGCGACGAAACTACATCCTTCCAGTCTACAAATGGAGCAAAAATGCAACGGCCACCGTCTGGAAAAAAAAAATATTTGCCACGGCTTTAAAAAAAAAAAAGGGTGGCCGTACCTAGCGTCCATTTTGACCGGAAGAATTATATGAGGGTTAATAAACGGACACCCCTGCAGTACCCTCATTATTAGCTGGGGAAGGGACTTAGGACATTACATCCACCAGCAGGCGTCGCCCCTACAACGACCTGCCTGAATGAATTAAGCAGCAGTTTAAGAAAAGTAATATGAGAAATTCAAATATCTACTTGCTGCATATTTTGATTGTTATTCTGTATAGGTGTAAATGATTGTCAATGATTAATGAAATGGTGGAGATGTGGTGTTTTAGAAGATTGTGGAAAATGAACACTTTGTATTGACATCTATATAGATTGCTGGATTGCTAATCAAAACTCTAGAGACAAAACAAATTGAAATGTGTGGGAATATTGACAGAGGAGGTGAAATAAATTAGTTTGTGTGGGAAAATTCTAGACATCCATGCACGGAATGCAGAAAGATGTATATGACAAGCTTGAACAGCTGGAAAACAGATAATAGTGTCGATTAATTCATGTTCATTAAGATATTAGATATTAGAATGGATTGAAGCATCGTGACTGTGATTGAATGAATCAGGAATTGACATCACCGCACTCGCTAAATTAGATTTTGAAATTTGTAGATAAAACAGAAGAAGAAGAGGAACATAGAATAAAGTAAGATAGGCATGTCAGCTTTTTAGCAGTTCTGCAGAGATTATTGTTTAGAATTATTCAGAACCACATCTGACTCTCTAATTCACAGGGCTCTGGTGTGATCAAGGCAGGTTTTGCCGGTGATCAAGTTCCAAAATATATTTTCCCAAATTTGTAAGTGCTGTTTTCTTAATTCTTCTTAATTAACATGCAGAACATTATTTTGTGATAAGTATTTATGGATAATATGAATTGTTGTTTGTGTTAGTTTGTGTAATTAAAGGGGTGGTAATGTAGTGGCTAGATCACTCACTGGCGGGTCCGGAACTAATAGACCCTTAATCATTGTGTGGGTTCCAGGATTTTGTGTGTGTGTGGGGGATGGATTAATTTTTTGCCTTAGTTGGATGTGTTGGACTGAAAGGTGCATATATCAAAGCCTGTCTGTGAACCTCAATACTGCATGCCAACAGCCTTTTAAAATCAAACACTAAAAAGACGAATATTCCCTTAAGATGGGAATTTGCTATCTACTCCATGGCTCCAGGGCAAGTCAATCTTATTAGACAGAACACTTGATAAGTTTCTGACAAGTCACAGGTAGCCTCTGTGATATAATGATGATGTCCATCATGGAGATAGTTCCCGATAGGGAATCCGATGCTCCATTTTTGAGGGGGGGAATATAGATCCACAGCCTTCCACCTCCCCCTAACAAGCATGTTGTAAAAGGTAATTTATTAGGGGTTTTTCCTCTGAAGTTGGAGGGCATCTGCATGAGAGATAAGGAACAAACTATCTGTATACGAGTAAGCCAGATCTGTAAAATGCATGTGCAGAGAAATTTCAAATTCACAAACAAGATCAATGTCCAGAAGTAGACGAACAACTAGAACTGGCACCAGAGTTTACAGCCATTTAACACTAAGAAGAAGAAGTCATGGAGATATAATTTGTCTGAAAACATGAACCTAGAATTATATTACACATTGGCAGCACAACATGAAAACTGGGTCTTGTGGTCCCGGTACACACCCGGGGGTAGGCAGAAAAGCCATATTTCTCCCAGATGTACGGTATCTATCATGGAATCAGGGCCGAAGGGTTGCGATATCCATAGTACCGAGCCAAAGGGTTAACAACTCATGGTTTCTGGATATACAAAAAATCCATAATACTGAGCCAAAGGGTTAACCGCTCATGGTTTCTGGATATTTAAAAAAATCCATAGTACCGAGCCAATTGGTTAACAACTCATGGTTTCTGGATTTAAAAAAAATTCATAGTACTGAGCCGAAGGGTTAACAACTCATGGTTTGTGGATATTAAAAAAAAATTCTTTATAATCATCATTTATTTTGTTGAAACATTTTTTAAGACATATTTATTAATTTCCCATGAGAGGTTTAAAAGAGTGCATATGCATTTATTTGTTTTAGTATTGGAAGACCAAAACATATCCGCATCATGGCAGGAGCTTTGGAAAGTGATATTTTTCTTGGACCAGAAGCAGAGGTGTGTATCTAGTCTTATTATTCTTTAAAATAGTTCTTACAAGCATTTGATACCAAAATTATATCAAATGCAGTCGTAATTTTATCGTGTTGTAATATATTTATAACTATTAGATATACATATTTGTATACTATAGTACTTGTATATGCAGGTGACACATTAATGTTTTTTCCTACACTGTTAATTTGAGTTGACATTTTATTAAATCTGGACAGTTGATAAGTTATTTTTAAATTGTTTATTTTATCCGTTTAATCAACATGGAAAACAAATGGCTATAGAAAACGATTGATTACTTGAAGTGAGAACATCAGCTGTTACCTTTATAAGATTCTAAAAGGCTATATGTTTATATGTGAGATTGTGTACGTTTATATGCGAGATTATATGTCAATACAGTGTGATATGAAGAAAAGGAGGGATTTCCTGGTGACATAAACATAACACTGGTGCATGCCAGTTTCACAGTACTTGAGTGCCAGGGTTAAATGTTCGTGGTTGTCATGTTATTCAGACAATTTTTTGGTCTATGGCTTAGGTGTAAATGATCTTCGTAACTCTGAGGTGCCAGGTTTGATGCCAGCTGTGGGTGATTTGGCAGCAGACCGCCTGGTGTTGGTTTCAACAGTGATTTTGAGAGCAAGCTTTTCAGAAACTAGTGGCAAACTACTGAACGTAAAAATTACCTCGTGAAATCACAAACAGCGAAACAATTTTAGGATTGGTTCTGCAATGTCTTGTAACGGACACGCAACTAACTTTTGTATTTAGACAATGTTACAAGAGTCACAAGAGATTAGTGCCTCATCCTATAAAATTCCTAAAGACAGCAAGCAGTTGGTGCACTGCAGCCAGCCAACAGTTGTGGAGATAAAACACACATTTGTGTTTCTTGCAAGAGTCTTCGTTTCTGAAAACACATGGCTCAAATTGAGGCAGGAATGCAGCTTTGTGATTTATGCATATAAGTAGTTAGTGCACTGCAGAAAGCCTTCAGTTGTGGAGATAAAACACATATTTGTGTTTCCTGAGTCTTTGTTTCTGAAAACACATGGCTCAAATGGGGGGCAGGAATGCAGCTTTGTGATTTATACATATAAGTAGTTAGTGCACTGCAGAAAGCCTTCGGTTGTGGAGATAAAACACATATTTGTGTTTCCTGAGTCTTTGTTTCTGAAAACACATGGCTCAAATGGGGGCAGGAATGCAGCTTTGTGATTTGTACATGTGTTATTGATTTATTGCTAGTTTACTTTTTGAAAGACAGCTTTAACAGAAAAGCAATAATCACATTTAAACAGCTATTATATTAATGCACAGCTGGAAGTATTGCTGTATAGGCGTAACATTTACTTGTGCAGTTTTTAAAATCTTTCTTGATAGCTCATTACTGAATTTTTAGATGTTTTTTCTTTGGATAATGATATCTTTATTTTCCTCGTGTGGTTTCTGGGGCTTCACTTTGAGGGGGTAGGGGGGAATGACACCCCCCCCCCTCCCCACCCCCCCTGTCACATGACGCGTCATTCGCATGTCTTCATTAGGGTTTCCCCTTAGTAATCAAAGACACTCTGGAGTGATTTAGTATTAGATAGGGGCTCAAATTGGTCTAGAAGGTACTCCATAGCTCCAACGAACATCCAACATCACTTTAGGGGTGAGGCAAGTCAAATTATGATTCCCAATAAATATACCTGGGCACTACTTGGCCTGACTTCCTCACCACTTAGGAGCCCCAGACTAGATAACACACCTATCATAGTCAAAATATAACACAGTAATGAATCTGACCAAACAACACCACATTCACACACAATCTAAACTAAACAGAACTGGAAAAAACTGACCACTGACAAATTTGAATCCAAAATAACAATACATCGTGTAATAAGTACAACAAAGGTACAGACTCTGAAAAGTAAATGAAAGCAGAGGAAAACTCAAGGAAACTAATTAATTTAGAACTGAACTCTTCCAGAAAGATTCATGGGCTGCCTACAACCCTTTATGACTCATCACTGCAAGACCATGTTGTGACAAGAGTAAAAGTGAGCACTAGGGTCTTGGGTGGCCACAATTCCAGCATAGTCCTGGGTACTTAACTGAGGGACTTGATCCTCTCCACAGTTCATAGGCAAAACTTCACTAGGAGTAGGCTGGACAATAAGTTAGGCATCAGCTGTGGAGTAGAAATGTACCCACTTGCTATGCACTATCCATTATGTGTGCAGAAAGCACTTAAAGGTCAAGTTCAACAACAAGAAATGGTTCCCTTGATCAGTTCCTACTGTTAACAATAAATTCAGCTCTTTGCAGCACTCTGGTTGGGTTTGGCACAAGAGCAGATCATGGATTCCGAATAACTGCATGTAATGCTGATTAATTGGCACAAACCGTTCTGTGTCAAGTGTGACACCACTTGTCACCTCCTGTTGCTTTACCACAAAAACTGGTTTCAGACAAACATAAGTACTGCTTTACTAGCTCAAAGTAGGTGTTGTTAAGTACTGACATAAGATGCCGTTGCCAGATAATTGTATATTATGCTTTGTGATTCTGGCACTCCCCCAGAGAGGTAATCTGACATCCTGTGAACAAAGGGATACAAGAATTAGCAACCCCTAAACACTGTACCTTGTTTACTGTCACTTCACAACGAACCATCAGTCAAATGCTTAGACAGATGATAGTGTTGGGCTAGTACAGACCCAAAAGGGCTGTATACATTTCCCAGGGCCTCTTAGCAGCAAGGATTGAAAGTGATCTATTCTGCCGGATACCTCTGTACTGATGACAGTGCTAGACTGCCTATCCAGTCAAGAGAGTGCCAGCAATCAGTCGTTTTCTATTATATAGTACCCATACTCAAGCATGCATACCAAGAATACATGAATACATAAGTAGGAAAAGCATTAAAGCATCAGAAATACGACACACTATTTCCTCTACTGACACCAGCCATTTGGTGTTTACAGTGACCCAGGCAGAAGTTAGGTCATTCTCGGTAACTCCAACACCATGCCAAAACGAGTGTTGAACTGCGATCTGGGTCAGCTCAGTCGTTCAGTTTCTCCTACATTTAATTGCATACACATGCATAGAACGTGATCAATTCATATTTCTAAAACAAGGATACATGAAGTCCAGTCTGTCTGGGCCATCCATTAAGGGAATATAAGAAGATAACCCCCATCGGCCTGTATGTGAACGTTCGGGATTCACACCTTCCTGCAGTTTAAATCATCTGACGGCTAGGTAAAGTTGCTTCACACAGTTACACCAGTCTTACACCCAGCAGCAGGGCAGAGTATTACAGTTGTTTTACTCTACAATTACCCATGCTCATTGGAAGTTCCCGGGTGAACTGGAGACTTTCAAAGAATATGCTGATAGACTTTCAAGACAAGGGCGAAACCGATCTGTATGCTCTGAATATTGAGTCACAAATGTTAATTTGAATTTAACACTTGCCCAATTCAGAAGCGGGAGGAATTCCTTCCGCGAACAGGCAGTAGTTCAGCCGATGGAAAATGGTCTCGCTACTCTTAGAAATTACTTACCTCTGAGTGAATTCATGACTTAACTTACTCCCAATAGATTAAAGAACGAATTGAGTACTTATCTGGAGACATCTTGACCCATAAGTACAAAAGAAGAACTATTTACTTATAAAGGAAAGTCCAATGTTTAAAAATAGCTTTTTTACATAGACATGCACAAAATGTGGGCAGGTCCAAGACCAAAGGGGTGTTCTGCTGTCATGTGACACTCCCATTACTGCTTCAATAACATTGACCTCAGTTGGATTGCTGCTCATGCCATTTCCATCTTCTTTTGAGGGGCTGGCCAAGCAGTTAGAATTCTTGACTGTTATTCTGGAGACCTTGGTTATAATCTTTAGTAAGGTGATGGATTTTTCCTTTTCAGGCACACACACACACACACACACACACACACAATTCATAACTTGCCCATTTCATGGGAGCTGCACTAATCATGAAGCCCTACATTCTTAGGTTAAAGACCTCTCTCTCCTACACTACATAATTTTTAAAAAGGTTAAATGCAGGCAGCAAAGGTTTCTGTGTATGGGTGTGTGTGTGTGTGTGTGTGTGTGTGTGTGTGTGTGTGTGTGTGCCCATGCATTCGCGCATTCATGCATGGGTTCCAAAGAGCAAGTATAGCTAGTATTCAGGTGAGTAATGTGAAAATATTCTGACTACACATTTAACCTAACTTTAAAATAAAAAAAAAAAGTAAAGAACCATATTCCACGCCTTTAGGCGTATTGGGTATATAGGGCTAGACCTGTATTTTATAAACCAAACAGCACTTGGTGAGTGATCTGGTCAGCATCATGCCAGCTGCCTTTACTTCCTAGGACTGTACCTTGTACCCACTCAAGGCTAGGTCGACCTGGGAGCCAAAGTCAGTTTGGAAGAAAAAAAAGTCTGGACCCTATCAGGACCCGAACACCCACCACCTTCCGATCTGCAGGCAAGCATTTAGCTGCTAGACCACGGCGGCTCCCTTTAACCTAACTTAAAAAAATCAGTAGATGATATCTGTTAAAGACTGTATGAATTATTTTGACTCTCTATATTAATTTCACATAATCATATTATGATTCTGCTATCCGGTTAAAATGGACGCTAGACAGCGGCGCCGTTCGGAACAGAGGCAAATTTTTTGCTTCTGCCGGACGGTGGCCGATGCATTTTTGCTCCATTTGTAGACTGGATATAGTTTCGTTGCCCAGCTTCTGAGTTGAATGCATGGATTGACCCTGTGAGCTGCGGATTGCATTTGGAATGTTTTTTTTTCGACTGTGACCAACGTGGTGGTGTGAATTGTAGATTCAGAAAATGGCGCGATGCCTGTCGTTCAATGCTTGCGGGACCCGTATTAAAATTGATCACGCGGACAACTGCTGATCTGTTGACGACAAGTTCTGCTATCATCAATGATGAACTGCATTTCTAATGTTGGACTGTTTGTGTTAGCACTTCGGATGGCTACCATATGCTTTAATGCGAGTGTATGCTAGATATGCTGAGACAGCAGTCAGTCAATCTTTCCACAAGGGACTGTGATAGACATTCTGAGTGTTTTTCGCTGGCACAGGAGCGGAGCAAAGATGGGGCAACCCGTTTGCTATGAAGCTGAAACTAAGACTACCTGACTATCATATTTTTAAAAATTGGAAATTCTGTTTCAGGAACACAGAGGCTTGCTGTCAATTCGCTACCCCATGGAGCATGGTATTGTCAGGGACTGGAATGACATGGAACAAATATGGCAGTATATTTATTCAAAGGACCAGCTGCAAACCGTTTCAGAAGAGGCAAGATTGCACGGCTCTTTAAGCTGAAAATATTTTCTTTTTCTTCTTTTGTGTTCATCCAGAGATGTAAATGCTTTGTGTTCGTTTACAGCATGGCTGCTATATTTACACTCTTCGGCCAACACATCCGACTTCTGGGGGCATTTGCTGACTTCCCGGTTTGAAGAAAATGTGAAAATAATAGTAACAGTCTAGGCAACGCATTAAATATTCTGTACTAAGTTACTTAAATAAGAACAGAAAAGATTTTCTTTAATTTTAACAGGTGAAACTCAGTAGGGATTTTAGCACGACACCATAATAATAAAAAGTAAACACAGGTTTACTTAATAGTCAACATATTCAGTAGCTACAGAAGGAATTTTGTGTACACATACTTATACAATATAGGCAATGTGATGATCATGGCAGAGACGCTGCATATTATAAAATATTAAAAAAAAAAAAAACAGTTATTTAATTGTGAACACATGCAAATGGGTGTTAGATAAGACCTTATGATATGTAAATTATCTTGCATGAATTTAGAATTATGGAAACCATAGTTAATGTTTCAAGTAAATAATAATGTCCACTGTTATATCTTGCGTAAAAACAAAACAAAACAAAAATAACATTGAGGGGGTGATAAGTATCTGCGGTTGTACAAATAAGAGATTGTATTTCTGAATCATGTTACATGTCACTGCTATCATATTTTAGTTCTGTATCTTAAACACAGTCGGCTCTGTGGCTAAGTCGAAGCCGGGATGCCGGGTTCGATCCCAGCTGCAGGCCATGCACCTTGCGTTGGTTTCGACAGTGGTATCAAGAAAGCCGACTGTCCAGAAAGCAATGGCAAACTACTGGATGTAAATTTGCCTAGAAAAACCACACAACAGCCAGGGGCTGTTGGGGTTGGTTCTGCAACGTCCTGTAAAGGATACGCAACTAACCTATCTTAAACACATTGTGAAGTATATAAAAAAGCGCTTTGAAATGTATTTTAAGAAGTGTGGTCTCTTTCTCTCTATATCCTTTTAGTTTAACAAGCCGTTTTAAAATATTATGAAATACTGCTTATGTAATGTTCATCTCTCTTTTTTTAGGTGAAAGTTGGAGAAATTAACAACAAGTTTGCAACGTGTGGGAAACTGATTTGAAAAACCTTGTACTCTTCATTTTTTTTTCAGCATCCCGTGTTGCTAACAGAGGCACCGTTGAACCCACAAAGAAATCGAGAGAAAGCAGCTGAAATATTCTTTGAAACATTCAACGTTCCAGCTTTATTTATTTCCATGCAGGCAGTTTTGAGTTTGTAAGTGACAAGTTTCGATTCTACTTTAATCCTGTCACCCCAAGAAGTAGCGAAACAGACAAGTCCATTTAGAGCCAGTTCCCTGTAAATGTTACTTTTCGAACTTGTCTGTAGTGAGCTGTTTATGAGACACATAGTTAATGCTACTGGCTGTGTTCATGCCTGCGCAAACATCTGTGAGGTCAGGTTATACTTCAAACCATAATTTTTTTTAAAGCTAAGTTGACCTCAAATGTTCCTATTAGCTTCAGTGATAGAGGTCAGTGGGTCACAGCATGAGTCACCTGAGAGAGAGAGAGATATATGTATATTTAAGGTCCTGGGGAATATATTCTTTCAAATGCTTCACTTTGGTCATGTGAATTGATTACTTTATTTATATATATCTTCCTATATTTAAAAAAAAAAAAATTATGTAAATGCATTTTAAAAATGTATTAATGACCTGTGTAAAAATTGTTATTTATAAAGGATTTTTCATGATTTTTTCAGAGGATCACAACCCTTTTTTTTTCTATTAAAGTTTTTAGTCTACCGGGGCAAAGGGGTGACGTTTTAGACATTGTATCTTATAGAGTTTAATATTTCCCCCATTGTTTTCTTACATTATTAGACATGTATCTTATAATTCTTTTTTTAATTTAAATTTTCTTGGACATCCATACCTTATTTTGAAATCTGCCTAACTATGCAACCATGCAGCTGTATTCTTCAAAATACCTCGCCTGCTTTAAATATTATTTTATACTGCTTGTGTCCTTGTGTAAATCTTACACTAATAAACTAAGAATATACAAACCATTTTTTAAAATTAAAGTTTAGCAACAAACTGGTCCATAGTTCTGTCTTTATTAAGTATTGAGGATACAGAGCTGCTGATGCAGCAAGGTCAGGTACCAAACTGACCAAGATGTTGTTTTACGTCTCCTAAAGACATCCTGGAAATATGAACTGCTCTATTGCCACTGTTTTTGCCAGATAAATTCCAGGACTGCATACTCCAATATTAAAACAGCAGTGTGTTTGTGCTTGTCAAGAACTTTTCTTGTGCTATGAGTCTATACTGGAGATATTGTTTTGCTTCAATACCAGCAGCTTGAACCCAAGAGAACAAGCTGGGAATAGTGCCATGCCTCTTTACCAAAACTTTAAAAGCTCTGCAGCTAGTTCCCTTCTTTGTTGCTTTTCTTTCCAAATGCAGTTACTCTCAAAATTCTTAAAATTGTCCTGTACCTATATTTTGTAAAAGACCGAGTAAAACCTCAGAGCCATATATTGGTTGGAAGAGGTTTAATTTTAGAGCACTACTTGCAGGAAGCTGAAAAAAACATTTGCTCGTGTTAGAGATGTGATTTCTGAGAGGAATGTAAAGGATATCGTGGAAAGGTAAAGAAAAACAAACGAAGCAGTCCTCATCTAGACAGATGAAACTTATTACAATAATGAGACAGGCAATGTTGTGTGTGTGTATGGAGATGTTATATAAGTATTGTTATGGAATCAGCTTGAGGACTTGAAAACAACTGGCAAGATTGATGGAAAGAGAGCAAGGGGAAGGCAAAGAGAGGAATACCTGAATGGCCTGGCCAAACGGATGGGGTGAGACAAAACATTGAACTGATTTGGGATTCTGGTAAACATGTGAGATGGCAAAACATGACAGCTCACACTTATCGACATAGCACATGAAGATTATGATGACTTGCCTAGGAAATACATTCTTTTCCAGAGCATTATATTTGACCTGCAGTCAAACCCTTACAAGTAAACTCTACAGATGTATTTTTTTAAACATAAACATCATCATCTGTTGAACTGAACTGAACTGACTTTCTACCCCACCAAGACATCACACAAGCGATAAACACCCGATGACACAAAGTGCCACCATGCGGATGAGGATCGCCGTGGAGAGGTCCCAGAAACCGCGTTCAGACATTTGGCCATATTTATGGCCTGCCTATATTGCGGCCCCTGGCAAAAGCCAGAGTAGGGCTTCAAATGACAAAAAATTTCGTCCTAAAAAAGACGAAAGTGGAAATAATGTCATCATCTGTTTCCACTTTTGCCATTAAATATGTAGTGAGGAACAGTTTGCGATCCATTGCTTTATGGGTAGCAATGGCTATTATCATTCTGTGTCATTGTGGAAGATCTTTAATGTCAACAGTCCATTTTCTCCAAGGGCGAGGTATTGCTTTCACATTAGATCTTTTCATATGTTCCGCCTGTAATGGTAGTTGTTCTGGCTGCCTTCTAACAAGATGACCAAACTATTTGATCTTCTGTTTCTCAATGAATTTGTGCAAGGTGTTGTTTCCACAGTCTGTCTGATAGTGTTATTTCTCACTGTGTCTTAAAGCCTAAACAGATGACTCAATTCTTTGTTGTATAATTCACTGTTTAAATAATGAAAAAAAAATCTAATGCCTCTACCCCAACAGGTATGCAACAGGTCGCACAACAGGTGTAGTGCTAGATTCTGGTGATGGTGTGACCCATGCTGTACCAATCTATGAAGGATTTGCAATGCCCCACAGCATAATGAGGGTGGACATTGCGGGCAGGGATGTTACTCGGTACTTACGATTGCTCTTGAAGAAGGAAGGCTTTGATTTCCACACATCTGCAGAGTTTGAAGTGGTAAAACAACTCAAAGAGGTAAGTTTCTAAGTGGCAGCTATAGAGTAACCAGTATAAATTACATTTAAGATTTTTGTTTACAGCAGAAAATCTGGGAGGAGGGTGAGACCAGAAAAGACTTGGATAAATGAAGTAGCTGAAACCTGCAAAAAGATAAACAAATCCATCACCCATGACACTGGGCTACAGCCTGGTATCAATGAGACAACGAAAGGAAGATGCTGGAGAGATGTCAAAGAAGCATTATTTTTGAAGAATAAATACTTTGATGCTTTCAATGGTAGCCTTTTTTTTTTAAAAAGAAATACAGTCCATGCAAAATAACAGGGTGGAGAGGTTATGTAAGCCACCTCTTTCCTGCCAGTGGTCATGTCACATAGTTTTTTAGACATTTAATTCATATGACTACCACAGCCACTTAATCAGTTATTAGTGGCTAAACTGTACATTCAGAGGCCTGTCTACTATCTCTGGCCTCTTGAACATGTCTAGCAGACATTCTGACTCCTAGTAAAACAGAAGTTGTGAGATGGGGAGTTTTGGGCAACACATGATCCATAACTACTGCTTAACTTTTTTTGCTTAGGAGAGGAGGGTCTGAAATCCAATAGATTTATTGTAGAAGATTTTTTCTTAACATGAGCTGGTCTTGCTAGTTACACTTGTCACTGCCATGGGCTGTGATTCTTATGTCTCCCTATATCACAGTGGAACATTTTTGTCTGGAAAGGTGCCAACAGAAGCAGGATCACCCAAGCCATTTGGCAAGGCACTTGATAATAAGAGGCGATTTGCTATGAGAAACAGCCTGAAAGATTTAGGCCGTCTGAGACAGAATTTAGAGGGGGAAGAAACTGAACAGGCTGACATAGTGGCATTGATATTTGCTATGGGTTTTATCAAGAATGCAGAGTTTGGTCCTACTGCACCCAGCATGACACATTACTGTTTGTTTTCTTTAACAGAGGACATGCTACCTGTCCATAAATCCCCTGCGAGAGGAAAGCTTGGAAACAGAAAAAATGCAGTATACACTTCCAGATGGAAATGTGGTTGAGGTAAGTTTTGATAAAATACTTAAGTAAACTAGTTAAGATGTCTCCATTTCTTAAGATTTTGTGTGACTTATTACTTCTTCTTCTTCAGCATTCTGAACCCTTGAGGTTCACTGCTGCAGATATCATCCATCTCCATTTAGCTCTGTGATTGGATTTCTCTTTCCACTGTGTAACTCCAAGTGTTTGTAGGTATGCCTGCATGTTATCTCTTCACTGTATTCTTCCTCTGCCTTTATATTTTTTGCAGTCTTCTCGTTCTGCATCATTGTTTACTCCCATTCGCCTTTTTTTTTTACCCAGTCTCTCTCTCTCTCTCTTTTGTCAGCCGTTCTTCTCCTATGCCCCAACCATCACAGTATTAGCGATAGTAACTTGTTTATATCCTAATATATAAGAAATGGCAATTTCTGTCGCTGTTATGTGAAAAATATGTTTATGATATGTAGATGTATATAAAATCTTCCATTTATACGACATCTTCTATAGGTAAAAAAAATCTTCCTTATCTGTGGCTTTTATTAAAAACCATTAAAAAAAATAAAATCTTGGTGCTTGCTTTCAGGCAAATTGTAAACATTATTTAAGTTCCCAGGTCTGCTAACCTAAAATTGGTACCAGAGAATGTTTTGGAAAATAAAGTTGGCCAACATGATGTTGGTCACATCGATAACTAAATATTGATTGGCTTATAAAAGGCACTTTATCCTTTTAAAAGTGAAAATTAGTCCTTTACTTACTGAATATGTAATTCTGATAAATTTAATTGCATTACCATAAAATGATTTGAAGGAATAATAAAAAGGTAAATTCTTGAGATGTGAACCAGCTTCATTGCACACAGTTATAAACCATAAGTGCTATGCCAACAGTACGGACAGCTGATAAGAAACTTTCCGCCTGTGTCACCATCCGCATGCAATTCTGTAGCTACAGCGACGTTCCTCCATTTACCCCAGAGTGTTACCTACCAGAGTGGTATACATTACCTAGAGGCTGGGACAACCCCTGGAACCGCCTGGTTTCGAACACCGGCCGTGGATTGCAGCAAGTCGCAGCTGGATGAGAAAGCGAGTTTTCTATCAACTGCCATAATGTTGTTGATGAAGTTTTGTTAATAAAATAGTTATGTGGTAAGAAAGTAGTTGTAAAACACAAAATGATTATTTTCATGTATATCAAACAAAACAAAGTGCAAAATTAAGAAATTGCTTATAGCATTACAGTGGCACACTTGCTTGTCAGCTGAGCTACCATGAGTTCAAATTCTCTTTAACATGAAGGGTTAAAAAAGAAATTACATGGACTTTCAGGCTTCCCCAGTCTAAAATGGTGACCAGGAAATTGTGTAAGAAGTAAAGACAGTATATTATCGACTGTGTTATTCAGTGACAATCGTCCCTATGTGGGATGCAATTTTTCGTTATTTGAAGCCCCACCCTGGCTTTTGCTGGGGGCCCTGAATATAGCCGGGCCAAAAAAATGGCCTAACGGCTAAATGGGATTTCAGGGACCTCTCCACAGGTGATCCTCAACCGCATGGTGGCACTTTGTGTCACTGGGTGTTTATCGCTTGTGTGATGTCCTGGTGGGGTACAACAAGAGAGAGAGAGAGAGTTATTCAGTGAATGCTGACTGCTCTAAAACTGCCATTCCGACCTTCAAACAAAACAAAAAATATGTTCCAGAAAGAAAAAAAAAGACAAATTGTTTGTGACAACAGATAAAGTCAGTAAACAAAAAATGTGGTAATGAGATGAATAAACATATCCTTTGCAGATTGGGCCAGCACGATTCCGAGCTCCAGAACTTCTCTTTAGACCAGATTTGATTGGTGAAGAGTGTGAAGGCATTCATGAGGTGTTGGCCTGCAGTATACAAAAGTCAGACTTGGATCTTAGGAAAACTCTTTACTCCAATATTGTGCTAAGTGGAGGATCGACACTTTTCAAAGGTACAAAGCAAAATGACTGAATGTGTTAGTGTTAATATTTGACTAAATCTATAAATAAAACAACATCAGAGTAAAATTAATTACTAAATCAAATAGCTCTTCAACATTTATACAGAACGAGAGAGAGATAGAAAGAGAGAGAGAGAGAGAAGGAGAGTCTTTTCACCATTATGTAAATAAATACTGTATTTTGGTGTATAAAACACCCCCTATTTTTTTAGCCCAAAATTAAGAAAAAAAAATATTTTAAACACATTCCATATATAACATGACCCCCTAATTTTAAACTTTAAGAAGTAGAGAAAGTATATTGTCTTATACATGGAATAATAGGGTACTCAAGTTTCATAGCTTCCTAACATGGCCTGCATTCATCAGTTACTGTAACCATTAATCATTTATTATGTAAATTATCAAACAGAGAATAAAGTTATTATTTTGCTTTCAAATCATAGAATGATAATTGAATATATTAAATATTTATTAAAGTTATAGTTATTCTAACACCACAGGTACTAAGACTTAGAAAGGTAGGATAGCATGAAGTATAGACATAGAATACAAGAAATGGCAAAATAATTCACGAGTATTGGGAGTGAAATTTCAAAGAGGTGCTGAAGTAAGAAAAAATTAGAATCACTAAAACTACACATGAGTCATGGCTGCATGTGGTATTTTCTCTAGCATGTTATGAAAAAAGCTGTTACAAAGTTAAGATAAAAATGTATAACTTTTGCAGGGTTTGGTGACAGACTTCTCAGTGAAGTGAAAAAACTTTCCCCACGAGATGTCAAACTGAGGGTGAGTTGTTGTTGTTTGTAGCAATGTAAGTAAGGTAGAGAACTCCTTTAAATACTGTAAGATCTATTTGGTTTGTGGGGCAACTTTTTTTTTTCACAATGTAGACATTGTATTTAGTCCAATTGACAATTTATAAGTAATTATGTGATTTTTGGGAAATTTCCTGGTACTTTTCTCAAGGTATTGTTAAAAATGGAATAAAATGTCCCTAATTCAACTTGTGCTTGTGTAAGATGGCACAAGGATAAATGTTATATAATTGTACTGACATATACACCACTGATTATCTCTAGCTTTGTGAGAGTGAGTGCATACATCATAAATCCACTTGTTATAAAGACAACAAGGAGGACTTATATATTAATGAAATGAATGATGTGTGTTGTGTAGTGACAGTATTCATCCTATCTTCTCACACTGTACTCATACATCTCAAGCAACAGTAAGAAAAAAGAAATACCTGCAATAGTTTATGCAACAGACTACTACGGTTGTGCTGTTCTAACTGAAAGAATCAATGTGGACAAAAATGAATAGTTCTTTTTATGTTCACTATTAAAAGGGCAGTTAACATGTGTAATCTGCACCTTTTGGCTGAACACATTTGATTTCAGCAAACCAATATTAGTGGCCTTTATGACATGCTTGATAAGGGGGCAGTGGGTCTGTTCTCCTTCAGCTCTCCTTAACCCCAAAAGTTGGAGCGATGTAACCCTTATAGGGAAAATGTGAATGGTAGTGTCCAAACATATTTACCATACCGAGTAACACATCTTATACATCATGATTCTACAGTCTGGTGTTGAACTGATTTGAGTTGTCACACAAGCCAAAGAAGCCAGTGGCTGAGTTTAAAATGAAAAATGTGTGCGTCAGCAACCACATATTTTGTATAAATTAGGTTAAAATTTAACCATATCTTTTCCTAAAACATTTTAGCTCCAAACTTGCCTTATTTCACAAAATATTGTGCAAAATTGTTAAATTGTGTGTATAGCTATAATTATGTTTATTTTGTAAACAGATATCTGCTCCTCAAGAAAGGTTATATTCAACTTGGATTGGGTAAGTATCTACATTCCAGTCCCTCTTGACATTCTTTAGAAACAGTGGAATGGACAGTTAGTAGGATTGGCTCTCACTTTCTGTTCAAGAATATATCTGCTGTATGTTCCCTATGGAGTATACTGTATCTCTCTCTTTTTTCCCCTATCTCCGGTCACCGCCACCACACACACACACACACACACACATGTGCACACACACACATACACACACGCACGCACACATGCACGAGTGAGCTTACACATGTATCCACATGGGAAATTGTTTTTTTCAGAATTGATTTCAGGTCCCAGGTCAGTCCAGTTTAAAATGGGTACCAGCTGATAACCTGGGAAGTAAAGGCGACCAGCGTGATGTTGACCACATCACCTATCAAGTGCTGATTTGTCTATAAAAATATAGATCTAGCATAATGTGCCCAATATGGCAAAGAAGTAAAAAGGTTCCTTTACTTGTAAACTGGTACAGATTTGAGAACAACGGCTTGTCGGTGTCTATGACTTAGTCGTTGCTAATGCATTTCGTAATGCCTGGGTGCCGGGTTCGATCCCAGCTGCGGACAATTTTTCTTGCATTGGTTTCGACAGTGATACCGAGAGCTGACCATTCAGTAAGCAGTGACAAACTACTGAACGTAAAATTTGCCTAAAAATACTGGGGTTGGTTCTGCAACATCTTGTAAGGATACGCAACTAACTTTTATTAACTTAACAACTGCTTGGGACTGAAAGAGTTATATGGATGCCCCAGTTTTCTAAAATTGGACAGTCATGTATTCTTGACAGAGAAGAAATCCTACAAAACTTGTGCAGACTATTAGAATAGAACCAATGCTCCCTAACAGGAATAGTGTAAAAGATTACTAATTAGGGTTTGCTGAACTGGGATATATTATGCTGAAAAGCTCAGATGTTGCAGCTTTGCTGTGGACTACATAACAACATGTCCACAGCCTCTTTGATGGTGAATGCAGAAGAAGAAATACTGAGGTGGTTTTTGTGTGTGTGTGTAACAAAGTAGTTAAGTCATTAATTTTCATACTAGGTGGGTTCATTTTTAGACACTGTCCATCAGTTTGTAAGTGCATATGTTTGAGCTTAGGGTCATTGCTGGAGCTGCAGAGCTCATGCTTTGTGCTTAGCTCTTGGGACTACAAAAGAGAGACTGAGCATGTATGATGAAACCTGATATGCAAAGATGATTGCTGTCATCAACAGAAAAGGCAGCTGTTTTATGGTGCTCTCTGGACAATAGAACTGTAAAAGCTAAAGTTCCAAGCCTCTCAATTCATGACATAAATATCAAAAGAGAAAGTAAACTGAGGTACCCTGGCAGCAATGGACATGGAATAAGGAATGCTGTTCAAAGTGTTCCAGCAAGTTGTCCTGTTGGTGAAAGATTATAGACTTGAAATGCTTACCATATCAAAGAGTCAGCTGATGAAACTTGAACGCATACAAGATGAAGCCATGAGGGTAATTCTGGATGTACAAGAGACACCCCGGTAGTATGAATGCAATATATACTTGCACTGCCTACTATTGCAGATAGGCTCAAAGTTCTGCAAGCGAAGTCAAACTTCATAGCAAATGCTGAAAAGCATCTTCTGCATGAAGCCCTAGGTGGAGCTGAGGGTCACAGACTAAAAAGAGGAAGGTTTTGGATGGCCTAAGTTGAAGACACAATTACATATGTGTGCAGGGTTGATGAATTTGGGCGATGAGAGGAGTGGATCAGTGTCTGAGTAAGAATCATATTTGTGCAGGGTTCTAAAAACTTCAAGTCATGAGTGCAGGAACTGGCCAGCCGGTGGGGTTGAATCAGAAGTTCAACAAATGATTCATGACAATTCCTGCCCATGTGATGTGATTACAGATGGCTCTGTGTTGAGAGGTAGACGAAGTGCATAGGGGTTCATAGCAAAAGCTAATGGATGTCCTTTAGTGCAGCAAAGCCTGGACGAAGTGCATAGGGATTCATAGCAAAAGCGAAAGGATGTCGCTTAGTGCAGCAAATCCAGGCATATGAGATCACGTCTGCTTTGAGAATGGAGGTGGAGACAGTCACTGCTGCATTCCGCAGGATTGAGAAACAGCTGTTCACACGTCGTAATTGTAACTGACTCACAGAGTTTGTTGAGAAAGGTGGAGACAAGCATTCTGCCTGCAGTGTGGTTGGCATCGCTTCAGAGGTCCCGGGTGGTTAGCGTCCTTTGGATATTTTCTCCAGGTCATGCTGGTGTGTTGATAAATAAGCAGACAGACAGACTGGCCTTTTTTGCTCCACTTGGTGGTTGGTGAATTAATTAATGACAAGCTAGATGTTGTGAGGGCCCTTTGGGAATGTGAACAGTGGGGAGGCACAAATAAATCATTATGATCTGAGGAGAATGGTGCTGTGAGGAGCTACCAGGGTATCTGGCCAACACTCATCACTCAAGGGAAAGGTGAAATGGATGTACAATCAGACAGTTACTGATATCATCAAAATTAGAACTCTTCACTAGCTGCTGAAGATGGGGGATGGAGCGCTCACGGGAGTGTCCCAAGTGCTTTGATGTCAATTCTTATTTAAAAATTCAACATTTGAAGTAATAAAGCAAGTCCTGTCAACTGTCTCTTCTTCTTCTGCCTTTCTATCCCCCAATGGAGCATAGGCCCTCAACCAACTCACGCCAAGTCGTTCTATCCTTCGCCATTACATGGAGCTCTCCCCATGTCCTCCCAATCTTTCTAACCTCATTCTCAAGCTCTCTTCTCCATGTGTTTTTTGGCCTTCCATTATTCCTATGCCCCTGTGGGTTCCAATGCAAAGACATTCTAGTTATGCTGTTCTCCTGTTTTCTCAATGTGTGCCCTATCCAACGCCAGCGTCTTTTCCTCACCTCCTGATCCACTGGAGCCTGTTTAGTTCTCTCCCAAAGTTCTACATTAGTTATTCTATCATACCATTTTATTCCCTCTATTCTGCACAGGCACCAGTTAATGAATGTCTGTAATTTATTAGTAATTGCCTTGGTTGTTCTCCATGTTTCCGCCCCATACAATAGTACTGATTTGACATTAGAATTAAAAATTTTTAGTTTAGTATTTCTTTTAATTTCTTTTGACCTCCACAAATTCCCTAGTGCTATGAAAGCCCCTCTTGCCTTTTGTATTCTTATTTTAATATCTCTATCAGTTCCTCCATCTTTATCTACATTACTGCCTAAATAGGTGTACGACTCCACGTCTTGGAGTGGGGTGCCATTAAGAGAAACCACATTACTATTTGCCTGATTTATTCTCATTATCTTTGTCTTTCCTTTATGGATTTTTAGACCAAGCTGCTTTGATCTCGCATTAAGTATATTTAATTTATCTTGCATCTGATTCCGTGAATGGGACAGAAGAGCAATATCATCAGCGAAAACCAGATCATCAAGCTGTTTTGTAGGGGTCCACTGAATTCTATTTTTGGCGTTAGCAGTTACTGTTTTCATAGTCCAGTCTATAGCCAGTAAAAATAAGAGAGGCGACAAAAGACATCCCTGTCACACACCTGTTTTTATTTCAAATGCATCTGTTAGCTTTCCCTCATGAAGAACTCGACATTTCATGTCCTTATATGTTGCCTTTACTAAGTTGATAATTTTCTGTGGGATTCCATAGTGCCCCATCAATTTCCAGAGAGATTCCCTATCTATGCTGTCAAATGCTTTTTCATAGTCTATAAATCCAATGTAAAGTGGTGAGTTCAGTTCAATGCTTTGCTCTATTATAATACGTAATGTGGCTATCTGATCAGTACAGGATCTGTTTGACCGAAAACCTGCCTGCTCATCTCTTAGCATTTTATCAATAGCATCTTTTAATCTTTCCAAAATAATTCTACTTAATATTTTTCCAGGAACTGACAGCAACATAATTCCTCTATAGTTTTCACACTCCTGTAGATCACCTTTTTTGGGCAGTTTCACAAGATATCCTTCTCTCCAGTCTGCTGGTATTTCTTCGGTCTCCCAGACTTTACTGAATAATCTATGTAGCAATTCTGTTGTGTTTATGTTGGCCCTGATGGCTTCAGCTGGGATACCGTCTGGGCCTGTCGCCTTTCCTTCCTTGAGAAGATTTATAGCTTTCCCAATTTCCTCTTTGGATGGTATCTCACAGTTAATATCCAGTTCCATTTCTAAAGGCTGGATATCTGGGGGAACCTTTGGGCCTGGTCTATTTAGAAGCATTTCAAAATATTCAACCCATCTGTCCATTTGATCTTTAGTGTTAGTAAGTACCTTTCCTTGACTATTTTTGATTGATCCAGTTGGCTGACTATATTTACTTACTAATTTTCTTGTGTTACTGTAAAGTTCTATGAGGTTTCCTTTTGCTGCTGCTGTCTCTGCTTCTTGTGCTAGATCATTTAGATATTTCACTTTATCTGCCCTTATATGCCTCCTAACTTCCTTGTTGGCTTCTGTGTAATTCTCCTGAGCTCTAGCTTTAGCAGCTCTAGTTTTGCTATTGTTTAATTCTGCCTTTTTACTTTTCCTATCTTCAATCAGTTTAATGGTTTCTGGTGTTATCCATGCTTTATGTTTCCTTTCTTTCTTGCCAAGAACTTCAAAGCAAGATTCATTCCAGATTCTTTTGATCTGATCCCAGCAGACTTCTGTGTTGACATCTTCAGCTAACTGCTGCAACACCTGGTACTTATTAGAGACCGTAACTGAGAACTGTTCCTTAATTTCTTTATCTCTGAGAAAGCCTACATTATATTGGTTTCTATGATTATAAGATGTTATATATCTTTTTAGTTTCAACTTGATTTTACTTATCACCAGGAAATGGTCAGTAAATACATCCCTGTCAACTGTAAAACACCTTTTATCTTAGAAATTCTAAGGAGAAGATCTGAGCACCTATTGATTTGTCTTGACATACTGCGATAATAGTACATTTTAATAATTTGATGTATGTAAGATTTTGTTAAATACAGTATTTTTTTTTTCAGAGGGTCCATTCTGGCATCTCTAGACACATTCAGGAAGATGTGGGTTTCCAAGCGAGAGTACCATGAGGAAGGAGTGAAAGCCATTCACAGGAAAACATTTTAGCCAATTGCTGCAGTAGTTGTATTTTAGTTCATGCTATTGTGACATCATACATTTGTTTCTGTAACAGATATAGGCTATCTTATTTTACGTAAATGTTTTGGACTCCTAGTCTCAGCACGCAGCATGTTGACATTCTAGGTATGCTGCGGCGTACATTATTATTTTAACTTCTAATCTAAGTCATACAAATGTGAACGTTAATGTTATAATTGATATATTTTTTTTGGCAGTTTCAATTGCTATAAAATGTGCTCAGTTAAATTCTTTGCTTCTTAGGAAAGGAATGTAAATTTTACAAGGATCTAACAAAACAAAAACAAACAAAATTATAATAACTAGTTAATTTGACTTAACAAGTCTAATTAATCTAGAGACAGCAAAAACACACACAGAACAGTTAGAGACAGGAAAACATGGAAGATGCTTCACGGTGACAGCAGGGGATAAGAGGGCTTTGCCTGAAATTATAAGAGCCTGTATTCTACTGGAGGGTGAAAAGCTGAATAAAAACATGAAGTAAAGCAAATTTAAATGTCCATTATAATCACGATTAGATTGAGATGATATGGTAATTATTGAGATTATATGGTAATTACAGTTCTCTTTGATACAGATTACATCTTTAAATAAACAGTTTAAAAAGTCAATTTTTGTCTTGTTTTTATTTATCTAATCTAGAACAGGCCGATTTGGTTAGGAAAACACTAACAGTAGATTTTGCAAATTATTGTCTAGCCAATTTTGCTATGTCTTCTCTCACATGAATTAAGAACCGACATCATAGCACTCCATGGGGCATTTCCATAAGTGCATTATCCCCATCACAGAGTTCTAATTCCTAAGATACTGATAACAGTCTGATTTTATATCCATTCCATTCCACCCTTTCTTTCCCCCCCCCCCCCCCACTCCCCACCCCGAATGTTGAGCATCAGCCAGATCCCCTGGTAATTCCTTGCTGCACCATTTTCTTCAAACCTTGATTTCTCATGTAAAAGTTAGTCTTAAATGGACCCTTTTCAAGCCAGCCAATGGCACAACAGGCACATGCATCTAGACTCATATTTCTATCGACTAATCAGCATTTGATAGATGATTTCACCAGCTGCCTTTACTTCCTAGAAGTTTACCAGTATCATTTCAGTCGGGGTCAACCTGGGAGCCAAGTTCATGAGGCAGGAGAGCTGGCGAGAGACCAAGTTTCTTTCATGCAGACCATGATGAGAGCGACGTTCTGCAAACGACCTGCTACGTGATCATGGTGATGATGAGTGTGTTTTACTGTACAGTTTTTACATTCGGTAGTTTGCCACTATTTCCTGAATGATAAACACTCATACCTTTGTAGAAATGTATGCTAAACATTTAGGAAGGTAAACAACTGAGAAACAAAAGTGTATATCTTCTTCTTCTTCTTCTTCTCTTCCACCTTTTACCTCATCGAAGTGTCGGGGGGAGATGTAATGTTCGTTGATGAGCTCTGTCAAGAGCACTATTAAGACTGATATTCGTTTCTGTAAGGCTGTTTTTAATGCCATCACTCCATATTTTCCGAGGTCTTCCACTCGCTCTATACCCGTTGTAACGTTTTAGTGTGGCTCGCTGTGGTGGATAGTACCAGGGCATTCTTGTTAGGTGTCCAAACCACTTCATTTGTTGTTCTTTGATGACCTGTAAGACTGGCTTTATTCCCAGCATTCGTCTGATTTCATGATTTCGTATTCTGTCTTTCCTTGAAACTCCATCCAGCTCTTCTAAGGCATTTCATCTCTGTTGTCACAATTTTACGTTCATTGGAGGATGTAAGTGTCCACGTTTGGCATTGATTTATATAAGCTGTACAAAATACAGTTAAAAAAAAAGAAATGGAGGATGTTAGAGTGACAAGCTGTCATCAGCATATTAAAAGAGATGACAAAAACTGTTTGTACTGATTGATTATTAATTTTTTAGCTATCAGAACAGAGCTGAGTTTATACAGTTCAGCAAAGCCTTAAAAATAAACTGTAAGCTGTGCTTTGTCAAATACTAAACTACTTCAAGTCACAAACCAAGAAACTTTAGACAATATGATAACCAAGAGAAGATGGAAATGGCTTGGCCACGTTATGAGAATGAATCCTGATATACTGGCCAAAACAGCTCTCAGATGGAAACCAGAGGAAAAGAGAAAACAGGGGCGCCCAAAAACAACATGGAGACGAATGATGGAAAGTGACCTGAGTGCGGCATCTTTGACATGGAAAATTGCACTGAAGATTCTGCAGGACAGGAAAGCATGGAAAGTCCTCTCTGAAGCCTCATGTGCCACTATGCATAACGAGAACTGATGATGATGTCAAATAAAACTAGAGAAGATATATAGTGAATTTAATCATGACATCTAAAGTTATAGATATAATATTTTATCTGAATTGTTTCACATGGTGGCTAGTAAGTTACAATACAGATGCTCATTACTTGATAAAAAATATGAAGATTTTCAGGTCAACTCAGCCTCAAATAAGTACCGTGAAATATCTTGGAAAATAAAGGCAGCCGGATTGTTGTATCACCCATCAATTGGTCTACAAATACACATCTAGCACCACATACATGATATTAGTAGTAGTAGATTTTTACCCCACTAGGACATCACACAAGCGATAAACACCCAATAACACAAAGTGTCACCATGTGGATGAGGATCACTGTGGAGAGGTCCCAGAAACCGTGTTCAGCCATTAGACCATATTTATGGTTGGGCTATATTGCCGCCCCTGGCAATATCACAAGGAGATGACTGGATTATTACATACATGATACTCCTTACTTTATTTACCAACCATTATTTAATGTATTTTCTTACTTTTTACATTTGGTTAGAGCATACTAAAAATCTGGCATCCCCCATATCAGGTTTCATCATACTTCTACTGATTTAGCTTTTTTGAAAATAAATAACTCATGATTTTTTAAATAATATTTATTTCCCTATTTGAGCATATACTTACACTTTCAGGGGTTGAAAGAGTTAACGAGTAACTGTTATTTTATCTGCTTTAAACATTGTTGTATGCTTATTATCAGTGTTATTGTATGCTGACTATTATCTATTCCATACTTGTAACTAAGCATTCATATACATTTATGAGTCCAATTGGTTAGATTTACTTTGTATTTTTACTGTAATTTTTTAATATTTTCTAAAAAATAAGTGGGAAATATGGGTATAGATTTTCATGTATTGTGATAACTAGTTATTCCTAATGTGAGTGTTTATGTTATTATTTTAAACTGTTTGGGTTATGCTTGTTATTTATATTTTTGTGTCTTTTTTCCCCCTCTCCTGCAGCTTCTATATTTCTAGACAGTACTGTTTAGAACTGTTGTAGTTATGCAGACATGAAGGAAGCTGTGGTAGCATAGTCGCTAGACACACATTTGCTGGCCAGAAGGTTTTGCGTCTGAATCTACATCAGGCAGATTTGGGGTAACAATTTGCTGTGACTCCCAAGTCAGCACAGCCTAAAATAAGCGCCAGGAAGTCTATTGTGGGAACTAAAGGTGGTCGGTGTGATGTTGACCACGTCACCCACAAAGCGCCAGTTGTTCTATAAAAATTGTTAATCTAGCATCATATGCCTAATGAGCCCTGGGCGTTAAAAAAGGGTCCTTTACTTTTATTCACAGCTGCTACATTTCTAGACAGTGCTATTTAGAATTTTTCTAGTTATGCAGTCATGTGATAAAACTATTATACAGATAGAATAAAAGAAAATGGTGTGCCATATGTTCTAGGCTTATTTAAATATATAGGTTGCATTCATTATTATCATGCAGAGATTTTTGTAAGTTAGCCACCAAGATTATAAATCATCGTTTTCATCATTTGACAGGGTCTTTACAAAATGTTTCTTTTACCATCATCAGCAGTTAACAGATCTTTTACAGAACGTCGCTCTTTTCACAGCATTTTTGAAAAAGTTTTCATTTTCTGTAGATAATTTTCCAGCATTAACTGCTTTTATAGCCAATGCATCTTCAATATCTTGTGTCCACCTTCACAGAGGTCGGTCTCTGCCTCGTTTTCTGGAAAGTGCACCCTCCATTACCAGTCTCTCTAGGCCACCATGACACCATTTTTCATCATAGCCCTGTCAATAACAGCAAAGAGGTTTCCAGATCTCTAGAAAGTACTCATGCCTCGTATATTTTATGCCCAGGGGTCTTTAGTGTACTGTGTCAGCCTTCTTGCTGGTATACTTCTGCTTCTTCTTTCATCAACTATGCAACCATCACTGTCATATATATATATATATATATATATATATATATATATATATATATATATATATATATATATATATATATATATATATATATATATATATATATATATATATATATACATACACATACACACATAGCTAAACTGGTTTTACACACATAAATATATATATATACACACACAACACATATATATATATATATATATATATATATATATATATATATATATATATATATATATATATATATATATATATATATATATATATATATATATAGCTAAAGTAATACAGTTTCTGAAAAAAAGTGAAAGACCCTTTTTCACACCTTAATCACATGGATATATATATTGTAAACCTAAAATAAATGTTACCAGTCAAATTTAAAGTAACAGATCCATTTACTTATTTAGGTAGTAACTTTTAGAGTCAAAGACTTACAAAGAAAGAAATTATGACACACACTTCAGCAGCTTTTAAAAGCCTGCACAAACTATGGAACTCTATATTGTATAGTTTTAAAACACTACATATTTTCAGCCCTAATATTATTTCAATTTTAACGTGTGCCAGTAAAAGTTGGAGATCTACTAAAGATATGGAGCAAACCATAAATTTATTTGAAAACGAATGCCTGAGTTAATTGTTGAACACAGAATGGGATGAATTCAAGAGGGGGTTAGAAAAATAAATATCTGGGGAAGCCCATAGTAACAACAGTTTAAGACA